CATTTCTCTCTATTCTCTCTTGCTGCCACCTCCTCTCCTTTTACCACTGAAAACTCATGTTTATCTCCAGTGCTGCTCAAGAGACAGTGCCACCACTGAACAGCAGTAGTATGAGAGAAGTCTGTCAAGCAGACTGCCACACTCTCTCAACCTCTTTCCACTGTTATTCTCCCTTTTTCCTGATATAACTGCACACTAGAAACCTACTGGTTGAAATGAGCCTTAACCATCTGGAATCTGAAAAACATCAAGCCCTTCTTTAATACGTACTTTTGTTGCAACATAAACGGCAAGCAAAAAAAAAATTGTGATTCAACCAACATTAGTCAGCTGGAACAGACCAATGTTCTGGAGAAATAACAGACTACATGTACAAACACATAGCATAGAAACTAATTAAATTGTCTATTTCATAATGTTAATCTGTACTTTCCTTTATAACGACCAGAGTGAAGCCAAATGTCGTCAAGAGCCTTCTTCATACAGTGCTTGCAGATAAGTTGGCGCTGAACCATTGAGGCTCACTCTGCCACTCTGACTGAAAATGCTCCAAGAAACCTACAACAGCCATCGGGCAGCATCCTCAGCGTGCCTGTCAAATTAAATCACCTGTCAGCAAGGGTTTTCACATCCAGCTTTAACAAGGGATCAAACCCTACATTTGCTATTCCAGAGACAGCAGAAAAGCCCTACCTCAGCGTGGCTACCTCATCATTCTTGCACACACATAGAGCTGGCTGCTCTGTAGCTATTCTACACAAGGGCACATGGGCCAGCCCAGTTAAGACATTGCAGAGATGTAACACCCAAATGTCAGGCATATTTATTTCGCATCCATGTTTTTCTTACCAGTGTAGATAAATAGTCCTTCGGTAAGTCAGATGTCGCCTCGGTGTGCATTGTGAAATCACCAGAATCCGAGAAAGGCGTAAGCGGCCTTATCTTTAATATGTCACCTTTCTGGGATCTTTGACCCCAGGAGCTCATACAAACAAGCGCTTCAACAGCTTCGATGTCGTTCTGCTCCAAGGTGCTGCAGGTAGACCTTTCGCTGTCATGGCGCTGCCTTTCACGGATAGACTCATAGATGTCCACGATGTCAACCTAAATGTAATCAGATTAGTGGCTGTTAGGACAAGTCAGAATACAAAGCTGACACCACCCACATTCTGTCTGCTCATGATGAAGGTCAGCTGAAACAGATCCCATGCCTGCGGCAAGACTTCTACCAACCAGCTCAAGCCCTGCCCTCCCCCACCAGCTCATCTCCCCACCCCTGGTACTCTTACAAAATAATAAAAAGTAAGTGTGATTTGCAGCAAAGGGACAGATACGAGTGTAGCTCACATTTCTAGAGTTACTTTCCTGGATTACACTGCTCTGAATAAACACATCCCATGATTGCACACAAGCAAAAAGAAGGGGGGAAAAAAAAAAATCCTGGCTTCCAACCTTGTTTAAACAAGGCTGTTTGAGTCCTGGACGCAAACTACAACTGCTGTTCAGGACTGATCGCATTCTGGTAACATTTAGAAGATGAATTTCAGCTGACAGCAAGATGTTATAAGGTATGATCACAGATTTAGACTACCACACCTTGCAAAAAGCGTTTTACTCTTATTTTTACCAGCAGGGAAGTCAGGATGGCGGAAGGCGCTCAAAAACCATGTAGATGATGCCCTTAGTGACAGGATTTAGCGGTGGACTTGGCAGCTCCGGGGTAGCAGTTGGACTTGATGATCTTAAAGGTCTTTTCCAACCTAGTTGGTTCCATGTAGGAAAACAGCCTTCGAAGTGCAGTGGGAATTGTTTGCATTGTCCTTTAGAAAGGTATGATACTACATGGATGCTAGGTATCTCAAAACGCACTACAAGTAACATGAAGACAGATGTCATTGTATTGATTTGTTTCCAATTGGAAGTATCACAGAAAACGTGTGTGTGTGCATGTGTATGTATGCATGCAAAACACTTGACTTCCTGTGCAAAGATACCCAAACTTCACAAAGCTCTCACTGCAGCGCTTGGCAGTGACTCCAAAAGCTACGCTGCGCTCCTGGTTTACTGCTCACGTGCCTGCTTAGTCTCAACTAGGCATCCCAACTCTTCCAGTCTTTAGGCACACCAACTTACTGCGAAGGCTGGGATTCAGCAGCATAGACCAAGATTCTTGAGCCTAGTACTGTTATACATCGTGCTTATATACTGCAGCAAAAGGGCTTTAAATAGAAAGGCACCACCACACTGTTAGCATCGCCTAAAGCCCTAGAGGGAACTAGGCTGAGATGACATCACTTACACACCTACGTCAACGAGTTTTGTTACTGAGTTAAGTAACGTATAATGATCCTGGCTCAATGCTGTCACGAAGATGCAAAACCCTTTAGTGAAAACACAGGGATACGCATGGCAGTCACATTAAAACATAATGGATCCAAAATACCAGTACTGCACTCACAGAGGGTTTTGTCTAAAACACCAGGTACCAGACATGGAGATATCGAGACTGTGGGGCAGGATGAGGCTAAAAACATTCAAGAGATTAACTGCACAGAGGGAGACTTCTAAAAATTTCCACTGAGAGCAATGAGAACGGGAAGAAGGGCAAACCCCCATGTGCAGCAAGCCTGGACCTAGACCGCCTGTCGAACAGGTGCCACACCAGGCGAGACTGTGCACTAAGCAGCCAGGAAACCTGCGAGTCTTCCTCCAAGTGTGACTGCAGGCAACCAAGCTAGCGGATTGATTTTTTTTCCCAACCCTACGTTTCAGGAGAGCAGCGTTCTCTAAAGAAACGTGAAAAAATACACCCCGCTTCAAAAAACAACGAACTTAAACCAGCCCTTTCTGAAGGCGAGCGCTGCGGCCCAGGCTCTGCGGCTGCCAGGGGTATGGCTAACCGCGCCTGGCCGCCTGTCCTC